AACATCTTCTATCTTCCTTGGGTCAAGTTCTGGTCAACTAGGTATCCAAGTTAGGTCAAATGGGTACTCCCTGCAAGTTTGGAAGTTCATGCACACCTCCCTGCATTTCAGACAAGCTGGCCATTTCACTCTCAGCCCTAGCCCTCAGGGGCTAGGACAGTGCTCATAGGCTCAAGAGTTCACATATCTTCCTTACATTCAGACCAGCCAGCCCTTCCTTTTCTTTCTCTCATCTCAAGGTCAGCGGAACATGGTTAAACTTAGCCCATGTCTTCATTGCTGTATTCCTTCAACTTCTACTCACAAGTAGACCCATATGTTCACCAGCCAGCATACTAAGCTGCTTGAGGGTTCCCTGTAAGTTTTAGTCCTAAAGGGGAGTTTCCCTGATAAGCAAACAACTTGCTTGAAATTCAAACATTCTACTTTTTTTCTGCAGGTCTTTATTTCACTAAATCTTCTGTTTTCCCAGCAATTCTGGGTTGGTCCTTATGTTTTTACAAGTGGGACTGTCTTGTTCTTAAGCAGTGCTTTGCTTATCTGAAATCTCTTTCCTCTCCATATACAGTTTGTGGTCATTTTGTTCCATGTTTTTAAAGAATGATGGTGGAATATGGATTGGGATTGCATTATATATATAGATTGCTTTGGGTAGTATTGACATTTTAACAATGTTAAGTCTTCCTATCTATGAGCATGGTACATTCTTTCATTTTGGTAAATATCTTTTGGTTTCTATTAGTAGTGTTTTGTAGTTTTATTTGTATAGGACTTTTGTTTCTCTAGTTAGATTTATTCCTAACTACTTTCATCTGGTGTCACACTGTGGTGTAGCACTGTGGGTTAATGTGCTGGACTGCAAAGTTGGTTTGAACCACAAGATGGTTAAAGCTCACTAGCCACTCCTCAGAAATCCTATCTAGGATCTATGGGTCAGAACCAACTCAACAGCACTTAACAATAACAACAATTATAAATGATATTATTTTCCTAATTTGCTCACTGTAAGGTTGGTGGTTCTCCACTCAGAGGCACCCCAGAAGAAAGACCTGGCAATTTATAGCCAAAAAAATGAAACAATAAAAATTCTCTGAAGCACAGTTCTCCTCTGACACACATGGGGGAACAGTGATTTGGGAGTTGACATTATGGCAACTGAATTTGTTTTGTAAGGTTATACAGAAACTAAAGCAAGTGTATGGAAAGTTACTAAGAAAGTCAAGAGGTAGATCAAAAACAGGATCTGACCATTCAATTCCTTGACTGTGTGTTGAGTGTGCATGAAGAGTTAAGGAGACTTAATTCTCCAGGTTTCTGTTCGTACCTATTAAAAAAGTCAAGCAGTTTATGTGAAGTGGAGCATACCTCCTCCTGGGTCACACTTTGTACTTCTTCTCTTGGGCTCACTGGGACTTAAGTCTAGTTAAAAACTTAGAAGCAAAAATGAGTGGTGGGATGGTTCCTGGAGACATTTAGCAATGTCTCCTAAGGCATATGCCTCAGACAATGCCCACAGATGGTATTGCAGAGACTCTGCAAGCACAGTTGTGTTAATCTGGAGGTTAATAGGGAGGTGGAAGGGACAGTGGTTTCACTGGGTAGGGTGGCTTAGCATACAAAAAAGGAGTAATTTCTTCAGATGGGAGTGAGAGGGTTGGCTCTACTGGCAAGAGTCATTCAATGGACTTTAGGGGCTCAACATTCCCAAGCTTCTTGATTATCTGCCTATATGCTCCATCTCAAGTTTCAGGATTCCATTTGAGGTTGAAAATTCACATGGTATTACAATTCATGATAAGACTGGGTTTTTTTGTTTGTTTTCTGTTTGCAATATCAGCTCTGTTAATATAAGAAAAACTGTTTTCTCTATTAGCACAAGTGGCAACTTTCAGGTCTTGCATTGTGGTGCTTGAGCTATAACTTTGAACTTTTGAGCTTCCTTTCACCAATCTGTCTAGCAGAAGTAGAACCAATCAATCAGCTTTCTTAAATGTTTCATTCTGACAAAATGGTAGAAAAGTATCTAGTATGCAGATTCTTGATCCAGAGCTTTGTTTCTCACAAATATTTAATCCATTTGTGGTTATATCTTGTAGCTTTCTACTGCCACCTCATTTCACCGATAGCAGTAGAGGTAGTGTCATCAGTGCCTTTGAGAACCAATTTAGAAAACTTATTCTTAAGATACTGCTCATCTAGAACGATTTGTTTCCAAGTATCTTAGGCTGGGTTCTCAAGATCAAAACCAGTGAAGCACATCTGTTGTTGTTGTTAGGTGCCATCGAGTTGGTACCGACCCATAGCAACCTTATGCACAGCAGAACGAAACACTGGCTGATGTTGGACCAACCTCACTACTGCTGCCACTTGGCCAATCCATCTCGTTGGGGGTTCTTCCTCTTTTTCTCTGACCCTCAACCTTACCAAACATGGTATCCTTCTCCAGCGACTGGTCCCTCCTGACAATGTGTCCAAAGTATGAGAGATGATGTTTGGCCATCTTGGCCTCCAAGGAGCACTCTGGCTGTACTTCTTCCAAAATGGATCTATTGGTTCTTTTGGCAGCCCGTGGCACTTTCAATATTCTCCTCCAACACCATAACTTAAAAGTATCAATTCTTCTATGGTCTTCCTTATTCAGTGAAGCAAATATACACACACAAATATGCACATGCTGTTACAAGGTGCTGCAGAGTCTGTTCTGACTCAAAGCGACTCTACGCACAACAAAAGGAAACAATGTCTGGTCCTGCACCAGTCTCACAATTGTTGTTATGTCTGTGCTCACTGTGTCAGTCTATCTCATTGAAGGTCTTTCCAGAACTGGTCCCTCCTGATAACATATCCGGTATGAGAGGAGAACATTTAGAGATTTATTTCAAGGAAATAGCTTATGCAGTTATGGAAGCAGGCAAGTCCCAAGTCTGTGAGTTATTTGTTCAAGCTGGAGGCTACGTTTGACTCACATGGTTGCAGGGGTTGATGAACCCAAATTTTGCTGATCAGATTGCAGGCTGTGGCATGACCCAAGAATTAAAGGTCATAAGAGAATGACATGTTAGATGCAGGATGGAGAGGGTACGTTTTGCCAGAACATCCTACATACTGGATGCAAGCCACACTTGCAATGACACTCCTTTCAATTGACTGGCTGTCACATCAGACCAAAAAAATCTACAATGATGATTGTTGTTGTTACGTGCCATCGAGTCAGTTCCGACCCCTAGCGACCCTGTACAGGGTTTCCGAGGGTATAAATCTTTACGGGTGTAGAAAGCCTCATCTTTCTCCCGCGGAGCGGCTGGTAGTTTCGAACCACTGACCTTAAGGTTCGCAGCCTGATTCGTAACCACTACGCTACCAGTTTGAGACTCATGGCCTACACAAGCTGACACATAACCTTAATCATGACAAGCATTAAAATCAGTTGCCATTAATTCCTACTCATGGAGACCTTAGATATTAGAGTAAAACTGTGCTCCATTGGGTTTTCAGTGGCCAACACAAATCACTAGGCCTTTCTTCTGGTGTTTCTGCACCCTTTGTTATTAGGTGCTGCCTAGTTAGTTAATTAAGATTCATAACAACCTATGACAGAGTAGACTGCCCCCATTGGATTTTCTTGGCTCTAATCTTTGTGTGGCGCTGTGGGTTAATGTGCCGGACTGCAAAGCCATTTGAACTGTAAGGTCGGTGGTTCAAGCTCACCAGCTGCTCCTCGGAAACCCTATACAAGGTCGTTATGGGTCGGCACCGACTCAACGGCACTTAACAACAATCTTTACAGAAGCAGATCGCCAGGTCTTTTTCCCAAAGTTGCTGGGTGGGTTCAAACTGCCACTCTTGGGGTTAGCAGCTGAGTATTTACCATTTGCCCAACCAGACTGCTTTGTTTGTACCTCAGGAAGACACAAATCAAAACCATGATGAGGTACATTTCAGCTCACCCAGAAAGGAGCTCGAGTGTAGATGGCCAGGGACAGGGAACAAAGATGAGACAGGGTGACCCAACAACTCACACAGCTGCTTGGACATTGAGTTTATAGTGATCACTGCTCCTGCAGAGTCTCTGAGACGTGTCAGGGCTTATGTGGACTGCCAAAAGCATTATAAGAAAATTGTGTGTGTTTGGGGAGGGGAGGGGACACTTAATGGCAACTGGTTTTAATGCTTTACATATGGTAAAGTGCCAGATAACTTTTTAAAAAAGGGATATATGCATAAACAGAGAGAGCAAACATGGCAAAATGTTAACAACTGGTATACAGGCGTACACTCAATTATTCTCAACTTTTCCAAAGGTTTGAAAATTTTCCAAAATAAGACGTTGGGGGGAGTAGAAGCCATAGTAAAGTAGAAGGCATATCTGTTTTATACCAAGATATATATTGTCCTTATAGCCCATTCCACTTCTGTTGAATAGATTCCAACTCCTAACAACCCTATTTGAGAAAGTAGAATGGCCCCATAGAGTTGCTGAGACTATAAATCTTTATGGGTACATATAGTCTCATCTTACTCCCACAGAGCAGCTGGTGGTTTGAACCGCTGACCTTATGATTGACATCCCAATGCTTAATCCACAGCACCACCAGAGCTCCTGTGCTTATAGCAGAAAATTCATTTTATAAAATGCAGAATTACAAGTATAGCCAAGCATGATGAAATCATTTGAAAAAAAAGAATATGCCCGAAAGATAGCATAAGTAAAGAGACACAAGCCACTCCCCAACGCTATTTGCCTCTGCCACCCACTCATCAGAACAAGCAGTGGGAGGAACTCAGGTGTGAGTGGGAGGTGGGGGGTTTCTGCTGAATTCCCCTCCCCCCAGGCAGAGGCTTGACTCAGGGAGGCTCAGTCCTTGACATCTACGTAGTGGGACTGCATTATTTTACTTATAAAAGCAAGCTGTTAAAGTGGCAAACTGTATGTTATTATGCCTATTTTCTCACAAGAAAATAAACATTATCAAAGAAAACTGCTTGTAGTTACAACTCACCTGAAGTAATCGCAGGATGCAGCCAGCAGGATGCGGTGAGCCTCGATGTGTTTCCCTTCCACCACCAAAACAACATCAAAAAGAATCCCACTGTCACGCAGGGCCAGCAGGCCACGCAGCAGGGCCTGGGAGTGCTGTGCACTCCGGTAGGTGTTGTTGATGCAATGTGGGTGTGAGGACTGTGGAGGCAACTTGCAGACCTGGGTGAACTCTTGGTCCTCTGCCATCCTGGCCTCCACACAAGACCTCACCACTGCGGCCGTCAGCTGGCAAAACAGAGGGCATGAGGATGAGGCCACCCAAACCATGGCTAGCTTGCCCCGTGACACTTGGAAGGGGCACTTTCGGCTCACCTGTGCATTCCTGTGGTCTCCCTGAACCTAATGCCCTTCCCTTTCCCACTCTGGTCCAATCTGGGACTTTCTTTCTGATCACCTTCATCTCCACTTTATCTTCTTTAGCATCACTATGAGACAGAAGAGCTGTCTGGATTATCTAGTGGTGCTGCAACAGAATTACCACTGGTAGCAAAGTTTATTCTAGGAGCTTCACATTGCAGGGACCCTAGGTCCAAAGGATTCATTCTGCTCCTAGCTTTTCTTTGTTGGTGGTATTGAGGTCCCTCTTTCTCTGCTCATTTCAAATTTTTTTAAGTTTTGCAAATTGAGTGACAGTTTACACGGAAAAACATCAGCTTTACATTCATCCTACTGTATTTTGTTTGATAGCAATGACTACAATTCCCTCCATGCATTCAACAGCATATGCTTCCATTCCCTCGGTTTTGTTGTGTGTGTTTTTTTAATATATAAATCAAGGCATTCAGGAATATATAACCATTCAAACAACCAAAAGGCATATCCTGCAAGCCTACCCCCCGGCCACCAGCACATAGCTCCTCTCCTTCCCTGAAATTAGAGTCCACAGCCGCTCCATCTCTCCATGTCATTGTCTCTGTCTCCATGTCCAGTGCGCTGTCATTCTCCTTTTATCTTTTGTAAGATAAAAAATGATGCCAGCCACACTCCAGGGAAACTCCCCTTACACTGAATCAGGGTTGCTATCTGATTAATGGTACTGCGTTCTACCCTAATCTCCTTATATCTGAATGACGGATCCCATGAGATCACATAAGGAAGACAACTGTATCATTACATAACTGCCAAACCACTGCAAAACATGGCCCACCTAGGTTGACAGATATTTGGGGGGAACAGAATTCAGTCCATAGCAAGGGGTTTGAGGGACAGACAGACATGGGTAGGAGTGTCAGCCCCATCACGGTCTCACCAAATGCCCTTAGCTTTTAACAGGAAAGATAAAAGCTCCCATACTGTTTAGGTCCTGTTGAGTTAGTAAAATCTTGAGCATCTACACCAGCACACACCAGATTCTCAAGAGTTCTCTTATCCTCCCACAGAGAAAGAACAAAATTGAGAGTTCTCACTCAGAACAGATGCACAATGGGACAAGGCCTGAGTAGAGGTCAAAAGTCCTAGGGAAGGCTGCCAGTACTGCATGCAGGGGTGGGGTGGGGTGGGGTAAGGGCTGGAGCCAAGAACTGCCTTCATTTACCAAAATTCTAAGGCAGATCCAGTAACTTAGACTAGATTTGGTGCATCTGAGATCAACAGTATTATGTTTCAGGAGCCCTGCTGACATAGTAGGTTAAGTCTTGGGCAGGCAGGCAGTTCTCTATGAGAAAGACAAGGATTTCTACTCCTGTAAAGATTTACAGCCTTGGAAACCCTATGGGGCATTTCTACTCTACCCTATAGCATTGCTATGAGCTAAAATCACCTCAGAGGCAGTAGGGTTTGGTTTTGGTTTCTGCATTTGTTTTAAATTCTAGGTTGCCATTATTAGGAGCTCTGGTAGAACAGTGGTTACGAGTCGGGCTGCTAACCTCAAGATCAGCAGTTCAAAACTACCAGCAGTTTCATGGGAGAAAGATGAAGCTTTCTGCTCCCACAAAGAATTACAACCTCAGAAACCCTATACAGGGTCATTATTTATGAGTTGGAACTGACTTCATGGCACATCACCACCACCACCATTTTTAGCGGCTGTCAAGTCAACCCTGATACATGGAGACCCCATAAAAAATGGAACAAAATACTGCTGTTGTTGTTGGGTACAAGTCAGACCACTGTAAATTACAGGATTTTCAATGGCTGATTTTCTGAAGTAGATTGCCAAATCTTTCTTCCTAGTCTGTCTTACTCTGGAAAGTCCACTGAAACTTATTCAGCATCACCAACAGATGGGTGGGTACCACAAATGAGGCACTTTGGCCAGAAACTAAACCCAGGTCTTCCACTTGCAAAGAGAGATTTCTATCCTTGAACCTCGTAAATTCAGTTATTTTCTAATAATTAAAATCAGTATGTTCAAAGAATGATTTCAGCATGAGCTTCAGAAACCTGATCAGTAAAAAAAATCTATAGCAAGCATATTTTTGTCCCTAACTACAGCCAACCAGACAAAGAACCATGGTTAAAAGTTGGGTTACTAACCACAAGGTCAGCAGTTTGAATCCACCAGCATCTCCGTGGGAGAAAGATGAGGCTTTCTGCTTCCATAAAGATTATAAGCCTCTGAAATTCTATACAGGGTCACTATGAGTCAGAACCAACTCAAGAGCATACAATCACTACCATCAGAGCCAACAAGAAGCTACTGTGGACCATGCATATGTGTGCTGTGGACCAGTGTGCACTAGAGGCATTGGTGGCAAGACAGGAAGTTTGAGTACAGGGATCTACAGGGCCACCTCCTATAAGGCAGTAAACATCTACCTTTTCTACCCACATTACCCTCTCTTCTTTCAACTTCAAAATTTGGGTCTTTTCAAATTCTCTACTATATTTTTAAAAGAAAAAAAAAAAAAAAAAAAGATTCTAGCTTAAAACTTACCAGAAAGAAAAGGTCTCCCTCTTCTCAGCTGTCCTCCCCCCGCCCATCATCTTTAGGCATTCTTTAGTTTTACTCTGGGCCTGCTCTGCATCCCACCAAACACACTTAACACTTCTTACTTGTCCTCTGTAGCTGACCTTCCACAGCTGGACCCACTCTTCTGCCTACTGTCTCTATTCCTTGTTTTGAGACCTCTGCTCGCCCACTCACTCCTACTTCCCCATCCTGAACTGTCTAGGCTTTCTCAATTTCTTACCAAGGTCCCTCAGTTGGCTAGAGTTGAGGTCTATCTCTGCTAACCACCTCTCTCACTTGATTCTCCCTTGCCTTAAAGCTCATACTAAAACTCACTTCCTCTGGCCTCTTTCCTTCATCCAGCACTCTCTGTTTCACACAGTTTGCATTCCCAGTAGCACTTCCAGTTCAATGTGTAAGCCAAACAGCAGCCCTCCTATCGTATTTTTGTTACTGGTATACAACTACCATTTTCCACAATGGAACACATCACAATTTCAATTATATCCTTGTACCCAATCAGGTTTTCCAGTTCTGACCCCTTCTCCTCTTCCCTGTCTCAGATAGCTACCTGTATTCACTTGATGGACACTACACCCTCATTCCAATGCCAACTTTCGGCCTCATTTTTACCTTGTCCCTCCACACAAAATGCTCCTCTGTTAACACTCTCTGACTTCTCCAGCACTGTCTCCGTACCAGTTGGAGCTCTTTATAATCTGACTCAATCCTCCTTCAACTCTTACTCCCTTGTCCCACTAGCCTTAAACCAAAACTGACATCCTTTAAAGTTCCTGGGTGACACAAACCATTTGGAATGGTCTACTCGATGGCATCTAACAACAACAACTACTAACCTAAAGGTTGGTGTTTTGAACTCATCCAGCAGCATCAGAAGAGAGGCCTGGCAATATGCTGCCAAAAAATTACAGCCAAGAAAACCCAATGAAGTAGTACTACTCTTGTGACATAGGGCTGCCTTGAGTCAATATCGACTCAACAGCAACAGGATTGAGTTTTTTCTGGTCATCCTCTCAACACCTTAGACCTCTTTTTCTGCCTCTTATAGCCAGCCACATACTGGTCCTGATCTACCTTAATCACTTCTCCCTCTACTACAGTGTCAACCAAATAACCCAAACCTCACTGCTGTTGAGTAGATTCTGACTCACAGAGACCCTAAAGGATAGCACAGAACTTCTCTCTAGAGTTTCTGAGAATGTAAATCTTTACAGAAGCAGATTACCTTATGTTTCTCCCCTGGAACAGTTAGTGGGATTAAACAGCCCAAAACTTAGCCCACTGCACCACCAGGGTTCCTTATCACAGTGTTAAGAACAGGACTAATATGCACTCCCTACTCCAAGCAGCCTTATTCTCACCAGTGCCTGGCTCCATAAGGCTGGAACTGCATCTCACACACACCTATATCTCAGCCCCCTGATCAGGCACCACCAGATACCAGGCACTTGGCCAAGATCTCCTTCTCTTGCCTGAGAACTGACTGCTATAATAACCTCCTAGGCTGGATCTCTACCCACTGTGAGCACAGCAGTCCCTTGGAGAAGGCATGGATGGGAGCTAGCGCATAAACACCTACTCTAAAAACAAGTTCATTAACACAGGAGATACACCACTTCCTTGGGCACGTAAAGTACATTTACTGAGTACAATTTAAGGAACCAAGCTAGATGCTGAAAGTACCCTGGTTGCACAGTGTGCTAAGCATTGGGCTGCTAACCAAAAGGTCGAAGGCTTGCATCCACCAGCCACTCCAAGTGCAAAAGATGAGGCAGTCTGGTTTTGTACAGACTGATAGCATCAGAAACCCAGGAACAGTTAGTTCTACTATGTCCTGTAGAGTCACTATGAGTCTGAATCGACTCCATACAATAAGTTAGGTGCTGAAAAGGAGGGTGAAGATAAATGAAGTCATCCTCTGCTCAGAAGAAGCACAAAGTGTAAATGCAAACTTAAGATTACCCATTACAACCTTGTCCTAAATGATCATTCTCAGGGGGATGGGAGTCAACATTAGAAATCAGTTAAAACAAGCACACTTCAACTCTTGCCTGCTAAAGGCATCAACCATGGAAAACCCTCAAAGCTATGCAGAGTGCACAGCATGCAGAATTAAAGTCTAAAAATACGTAATAGTATATATTGCTAATAAAAAGGAGCTCTGGTAGTGCAGTGGTTAAGAATCAGATTGCTAACCTCAAGGTCAGTAGTTCAAAACTACCCGCCATTCCATGGGAGAAAGATGAGGCTTTCTGCTCCCTGTAAAGATTTACAGCCTCAAAAACCCTATGCAGGGTCACTAT